TATTACTCTGGTTAGTTAAGTAGCAGAGGGGATTGTTGATCAGGTTTAGCTACTTTGGTGTTAACAAACTTCACAACAGGTGCACTAGAGAGGCAACAATGAGACAACCCCAAAAAGGGAATGGTTTTACATGCTGCTAACATTGTTGCCCTCCTTATCTTTCCAAGTGTTTTTCACTATTTTTGCCTTTAGTTAGGGTCAGTGTCACGAGCTTAAAGGTTGCACAGATAGATAGTCCAGCTCCTCCAGGATTGCACATCAACACATGGCATTGTCAGCTTTGCTGTGTCTCCCAGCACAGTCTCTATACTGAAGGTTATTTTAACATCCATGGAGATACTGATATCCTCAACATGGCATTTAATTTATAATTAGATTAAGTTGGGTTCTCTCAAAATGTAAAAGAACCCTCCCTCAAGATGTTCAAACTTTAGATCTATTCCTTAATCCTTTGTGCAGTTGTGGAAGAAGCTCAGTCCACGTTTGTTTTAGATTTTACAGCATTGACAGGAAGAGGGAGCACACGGCCCCGGTGTATCTTGGCGGTAGCCAACTAGGTGTTGTCTCCACAGTCAGCCTGGTGCGGGTCAGCAGAGCAGCTACTCCATTACAGTGTGGTACCTGGATCTTGCATCTTTGTGTCAGTCTTTCAGACTGAGAGCTCCTCTGCTTCTTAGGGTTGGCTTCATTTCTGGCAGGGTGCTGAGCTGGTGGCCATGTGAATGTGCTTAAGGTGTTGGACCGTCTCCCCATGCGCTGTTTTACATATGGAAATGTAAATGAGTGGACAGAGAGTCTTGATGTGATAGAAAGCATGCTGTTATTTTGCAACCTTGGTTCTCTGAGTGAGAAACTCTCTCCCCAACTTTAAGGACACGTGGAAACACAATGAAACTATCAGCGATTTCATGTCTGCACAGCTGTTTTATAGTTAAGCTGTGAGGTGTGGCAGTAGTGTCTTCAAGAATCGTATACAACCTGACTAATGGGGGGTCGTTCTCCTGTACATGTGGAATATGTAACAGAGCAGAAGAGAACCGAGGTTACACAGTAACCGTACATATCCTGGTTTCTCAGATTCATTTTGGTTGTTCTACTTTTGTGTTTACAAGCTACAGCATTAAAGCTGCTGTGTTAGTTGATTTTTTTGGTCTCCAAGTCCTGCATTTGGGTCCTGTCTAGAATTCATCTTAAAATCCTTTTGTTCTCTAATAAATGCCCTGTCATGGTGCTCGGTTGGTGACCCAGCGTTTTGAGTTTTGTTCTGATTTGATTTTTTCATTTCATTCATTCTCTGTTAGTGTTCAGGTTTTGTTCTCAGGGTTTCTAGGTCTTAGGCTTTCTTCCTGCGCCTCCTCTGTTTAGTGTCTAGTTATCCCTGTCTGGGTGCTTTCTCTGTTTCGTGTCCCTGAGTCTGTGGCTGTGTCCCAATTCAGGGTCTGCAGCCT